CCCACGTGAGGAGCTGAAAGAGGTTATCACCATTAATGACGGCTTGACCTTCTTCTCACCCAACAAGGAAGCAAGTTGTACAAAAGCCACCAAAACCAGAAAATGACCAAGTCAACCAGATTTTCGAGTGCAAGGGGTTCAAGTCAGAAGAGCATCAAGAAGGACCAGCAGTTCTTGTCAGAAACATCACATCATTCCTTCTACGAACCGGTTTAGATCAGCGAACCAACAGCTGACTTTGGACAATAAGCTAAATATCATTTCTCAACTTCCATCACTACAAGCTCTATATTTGCATATAAATAAATAGCCTCCGCCACAGAAGAAGATGACTCTCTCTCTAAACTAGATGCAACGTCTCAAAAACAGTTGAAAAGCTCAAGATCTTTTCGAATCAACCTACCTAAATTTCTAGATAACCAGTTGACAACTCCTGCATTCATCTTTGTTGCTCTGCCATCTCCACGGTATGATTTTCTTCTAAAATGATCAATTTGAATTCATGTAATCATCTAACTGGATAGAGAAATCTCTAGTTCTTTCCTTATTTTGTAATTTACGTTTAAGATTAATCAAATGGATTAGTTTAAAAGAGGCTATGTTTTCTTATTTTCATTTACACCCAGATTAGATGAAAAGATTGTAGAATCTGTTTTAACTATTTCATTAAACATTCATCATTTAATCGCCTAAATATAGATTATAAGTCACCTTCGTGGATAAGTTTAAATTCCCGCTCTTTCTCTTTTAAATTTATCATTCGGACCCAAAAGAGGGACCTGGCCCGAATAGAATAGTGATAGCCCAAGAAATATGAGGTCGATTCGGGGCCCAAATTATGTCGTTGGGCCCGAATTGACTGTTAGCCCAGTCTGAGGGTTACATGAATATTGAATCAAGTTGCTAAACCCAAAACAAGGTATTATTAACCACGATCTTGGTTTCTCACCTTGCTTGCTTAGGTACTGCTCATACTTGTCAAGCTGACACACATGAACGAAAGAATATTGAAGTCCTCTTAATTGAGGCATAGAAAAGAACTAATCCAGGCCAATACCTCCCTTGGAGCACAATAGCTTGAATATAAGTCCAGAAAGAAGCGTGAATATCACCAAATCAACTCACAACACTCCTTCATACCAGGTCTATTGGGCTGGTCTTATACCCAATAGTGGCACGCCTATGCAACCCCACGAATCAAGATTAAGAGGAATCGAGGGATATGGCTCTAACCGGGCCCGCTCGTTTCTAACAAACTGATTCAACTTTCAATTTTGTTCAAGAATCGAAAAAGTCCTCTTTACTAGCCAAGAAACATCAATCGGGGTATTGATGTTGATCCAACAACCTCTCTGCTCCTCTGGGCAAGCTGACCTCCGCAGGTGGTAGAAGGAGCGACTAACAGAAAAAAGGACCAACACCATCATAAAATAGACATTCAGGCTATACTCGCCGGTATGTTTGGTCACAAGAAGATGTGTACAACAATGTAAGATATGAACATATGTGATCCCAGAAAACACAATGCTCTTTGTGAATGCTTGGGCCATTGGAAGGGACCCAAAGTGTTGGGAAAGCCCATTGGACTTTAGCCCTGAAATAACACAGCTCGATGGAGGAGGCAATTGAACAGCTAGAAGTGATGTTAAGGGCTACATTTTCAATTTTTTCCATTTGGGTATGGGAGGAGGATATGCCCGATGTGAACTTAGCCATGCAAATGCTACCTAGGCTACTTGGGGCTATGATCCAATGCTTTGACTGAAAGGTATTGAGCCATATAAGAAGAAGATGAACGGTGGTGATGTTGTCAAAATGGATGAATGGCCTAGAATGACAACTCCACGGGCCCATGATTTGGTTTGTGTTGTAGTGGCCCCCTTCAACCCACTTGGTATTCTTGACACATAAGGCCCAGTTTGGTAAGCTGGACTAGACTTGATATTTTCAATTAAAATTGACATGAGTCCTAGCCATCATTTGGTGGTTTAAAGTGTGTCTAGGACTAGATATAGACTTTGGATCCAAGTCCTAAATAATGGGCTCTTAGAAACCCCAACCCCAAACGTGGGTTTCGAAGCCAGAGAGCACGCCTCCTCCAGTCATCTCTCTTATTCTCTCTCCTCTGTCTTTTCTGTTCTCTGTTCTCTTTCTTCTTCTTCTTTCTCTCTTCCCCTCTTCTCTTCTCTTCTCTAATCTTCTTCTCTCTCTTCTATGTGCTATCTTCTCTATCTTATTCCTCTATCTTTATTCCCCTTTTATCTTCTCTTCTCCTCTTCTCTCCTCTCAGATTCTCTCTCTTCCCCTCTGCCAAATCTTCTATGTTGCCATATATATATATATATAATTTTGCAATTTTTTGTTCTTTGAGATATGAAGGGAGGTGGCTAAAAATTCAAGACATGAGGAAGAGTAGGTAAAAACTGGTATTTGGGGAGGAAGTCAAAGCTTGAGTGATGGCGTCTACTTCGGGGAACCTGCCGCTGCCATCAAAATCTACCTCATGCCTTTCGTCTTCTACCTTCCACCCTTTTATTTTATATTTGTATTTTATTTTTTTTTGGATTGAAAATCGATTTTGTTGTAATTAATTTAGAAATGAGAATAAAAAAAATTAAAAAATGGCATACTAATCTCAACTTTGGTGTTGTAATGCACCAAACAACTTCTTAAAATTCAGTCAAATCCCAACTAGTTCAGTGTAATGTAGAAGGGTTAATCCAATGCAGTCCAGTCCAGCTTACCAAACGGGACCTAAAGGGGCAAGCTTTTCATATGTTTGATTATGAAAACGTTTGGGGAACGGTGTGTATGTTGGAAATAAATAACAATGCCATTTGAATTAATGGACTTTTAAAAAAATAATAATAATTAAAAAAGCACTTCATGAATAACTAGCATCTTAATCAAGAAATGTTTCATTTTCTCAATATATGAAGAAATAGAAAACACATTATGAATAAGTTTTAATCATCAACCTCTTATGAATTATCTTCTTTCATCCTTAAAGTTAGACAACAATATTCCTATTACACGTGTTATACTTCTTTCATCCTTAAAGTTAGACAACAATATTCAACAATATTCCTATTACACGTGTTATACTTCTTTCATCCTTAAAGTTAGACAACAATATTCCTATTACACGTGTTAGACTAGACAATTCATATGAAGAAAGAAGACAATTCAGAAGACAACAATATTGAGAAAATGGACTAATAGGTGTAATTTAAAAATGGTGAAGGTGTTGCCTTTGTTTGTTAGTCTAGTCTTTCAACGGATGGACTAGACTAAAAATCACATATTCTCCCTATTCCCCAAGCTGACCTGCCTTCCCCAGCCCATTTACCTCCAGGCCCGACCCCTATTCCCTCACTTTCTACTACCACAGACCCGGCCCCCACCACCTCACCCCTTCTTTCTTCCAACCCGCTTCCAGACCCTCATTCCCCTGCGATCTCACCCACGGATCTTCCTCCTCATCCTCTTGATTGCGCCTCTATTTCTCCAGCCCCCTCTTCACCGACTGTTAGCCTATCATCTGATCTCCCTGCCCCTCCTCTGGTCCCTCTCACTCTACCTGATAACCCCCCGATCCTTCGTCGATCCGAGCGCATCAAACGACCTCCATCTCATTTTGAGGAGTATCAAGCTCATCACACCGTCTTGCTTGCACCCGACGTCGTCTCTTCATCCACGTCTGGAACCAGGTACCCTATTCAAAAGCACCTCTCTTACTCTGGCTTATCTCCCAATTATCGCAATTTTGTATGCAATGTCTCTCGCTTGGTCCAGCCCACTAATTATGAACAGGCATGTCATAATCCCAAATGGGTTGCTGCTATGCAATCTGAACTCCAAGCTCTAGATGCCAATCACACCTGGTCTTTGGTCCCTCTTCCTCCTGGCCATCGCCCAATTGGCTGCAAGTGGATATTTCGGATTAAATATCACTCTGATGGCACCGTTGATCGTTACAAGGCCCGCCTCGTTGCCAAAGGGTTCAACCAACGCGAGGGTATTGATTTCCACAACACTTTTGCTCCTGTTGCGAAATTAATCACTGTTCGTTGCTTACTGTCTATTGCTGCTGTTCGTCACTGGTCTCTGCATCAAATGGATGTGCAGAACGTCTTTCTTCATGGCGATCTCCAAGAAGAGGTTTACATGTTACCTCCGCCTGGTTCTCGTCGACAGGGGGAGCAGGTTGTGTGTCGACTTCACAAGTCCTTGTATGGACTCAAACAGGCTCCACGAAGCTGGTTTCGAAAGTTTTCATCGGCTATTTGTGGCATTGGCTTCAAGCAGTCGCGTGCTGATTACTCTCTGTTCACACAGGCTCATGGAAGCTCTCTAACCATTATATTACTTTATGTAGATGACATGATAATCACAAGAAATGATGAAGAGGCCATCTGTAAACTGAAGCACTTCCTTGGCAGTCAATTTCGAATCAAAGATCTCGGACCCTTGAGATACTTTCTTGGTGTTGAGGTGGCACGATCAAAATCTGGAATTTCTATTTGCCAAAGGAAGTACACCCTTGACATTTTGGAAGAAGCTGGATTACTTGGAGCCAAACCAGCCAAAGTTCCTATGGACCACGATCTAGTGTTGTTATCTACAGGGGAATTACTCAAAGATCCTACTCGATATCGTCGGTTAGTTGGAAAGCTTATTTATCTCACAATTACAAGACCAGAAATCACTTATGCAGTCAACACCCTCAGTCAGTTCATGCAAGAACCTAGACGTCAACATCTTGATGCAGCATACCGTCTTCTCCACTACCTAAAGGAAGCTCCAGGTCAAGGGTTACTTTTTCCTTCACAGAATCAATTAAAGCTGATTGGTTATTGTGATGCAGATTGGGCCAGATGCCCAATCACACGCAAGTCAGTCACAGGTTATTGCATATTTCTTGGTAATGCACTTGTGTCCTGGAAAAGCAAGAACAAGTTACAGTTGCACGATCATCAGCCGAAGTAGAATATCGTTCAATGGCTGCAACCACATGTGAACTAACTTGGCTAAGATATCTGTTGCAAGATCTACGTGTGAATCATTCTGAACCTGCAAAATTATTTTGCGATAATCAAGCCGCCTTGTATATTGCAGCAAATCCAGTGTATCATGAACGAACTAAACATATTGAGCTTGATTGTCATACTGTTCGTGAAAGAATAGAGAAAGGAGAGATCAAGACAGGATATGTGCAAACAGGGGAACAAATAGCAGATATATTTACCAAGCCACTGAAGGCACCTGTCTTTAGTTCACTCCTTGGCAAGTTGAGCGTTAGTGATATCCACTCTCCAACTTGAGGGGGAGTGTTAAAGGAAAGAAATATGTCAATGATTTTGTATTGAGAGATTGTAGGAATAGATTGTAATCAGCTTAGAATTAGCATGTATTTACCTAGAATAGAAGTTTCAACCATGCATATCTATATGTAATTCTTAATTTACTTGTGGGGAGATTTAAGATAAAAAATTATTTATATGAACACAGGCACAGCCGAGGTTTGCTTAAGATGATAATAGATAAGCTGATGGCACTACAAAAAAAAAAAAAAAAAAAAAAAAAAAAAAAAAGTGGCAACAGTCTCAATTATTTGGTGATATTTGATGGCATTTGCTGGAACGAAATAATAGTGATTGTTACCACTTTTTATTTGTAGCGTGGTCTTCAAGTTTTTCCTTTCATCGCATATAACACAACAAGAAACCATATGGGGAAACGTAGGTAGAAGTTCTAGGGGTGGGCACAGTCCGGTTTTTGCCTCAAATTAGAACCGAATATGATACTATTCATCCGGTTTGGTTTGGTTTAATTTTAAAAAAAAAAAAATCAAAAACTGTCCGGTTCGGTTTTGAACCGGATTATTAAAAAAAAAAATCAAATTATTTTTTAATACAAATTTCAACTGAAAATTTATTTATTTATTACTTGAAAATTAATAAATTATTTAATTTCATATAAAAATAAATATTAAAGCTAGAAAAGAGAGATGTTTTGAAATTGAACTTGGATAAATATTAGTTATGAGATTAAAAATATA